CAAACGACTACTAAATTGGTACAATGAATGGATAAAGTGCAAAAGATTGATAAATGCAAGTGACTGAGTTGGATGTTACTATGAACGTTATCTTATGGAAAGATAAACTGAATTTTTCTGGAAGTAATAAGGTAAATCTTATTCTAGATTCAAAAAATAAATCAAGAGATTATTTGTTATTAACTGACATCAGTTACATAAAATCTAATGCAAATTAGATGATCATATACTGACAACACACGCTAATGCCAACGGTCTATGGAAAGAGGTTTGGAAAGAGTGATATTTACATTCCGTGTCTGGGCCGCGACGTCTTCCACTTGTTGACCTGGGCCACGCTGCAATGGGATGAAAGGAGTCGGATCCGTTTCACAGTCTTGAACACAAAGCACTGGTGAACGATGAACTCCTGAGCACCGAGAAGGTCCTTGGTCTGGAAACATGCAAACGGAGGAGCCTTGAAGGTGAAGGTTCTAAAGTCTGTACAGAAGATCCGGACACCTGGAACACGCAGGAAAAAGGATTGCTGACGAGACAATTCTGAAGTTGTTGGAGAAGATCCTAGCAGTTTGGAACTTGCAAACGGAGGATCACTGAAGAGAAGGTTCTGAAGTTGTTGCAGAAGATGGGGGGCACTCTGTCACTCTGGCTCCACCGCGGTCTTCCAGATCCCTGCCTCCGCCTCAGTCACCTGAGCCATCTGCTCCGCCTTGGCCCTCCGGAACCTCGGTGTCACCCTGGCTCTGCGGCTCTCTGTCTCCATCCTGGCTCTCCTCCTCTGTCTCTGTCTGTCGGCCCCCTGGTGTCGCTAGCCCTACCTCCACCATGGCTCCTCCAGCTCCGGGCTCCTCCCTGGCTCCATGAACTGTCCCCTTTTCCCGTTACCTGTCTCATGCCGAGAGTTCTGTTCTGTGCCATTTTGGTTTAGCTTTCTCTGTATTTCTGTTCCCCTGCATTAGTTCCCTAGTTTGCTCCCTTAGTTGTTAATTGGCTCCACACCTGTTCTGTTTACATCTTGATTACGTTTCCCCATGTATTTAAGCCCTGTGTTTTCCTCAGTTCCTTGTCTACTATTTTTTGTGCCCATGTGGTTGTTCTGTTGTCCCTGTGGATTTATTAAAATTACTTTCTTGGACTCTACTCCTTCGTCATGTGCTTTATACTGGACAGCCCGTGATAGGAACCGATTCTGACAGGAGTTGAACATTACTTAGTGGTAAGCACTCAAACTTTTTCAGAGACAGCTTTAAAACCCACTGCACAATTGCATCTGGTTTGGGTGAAGTTATACTTGGGCTTAAGTTATAATGGGAGTGGGTAACATTAATGGTGCGTTCACACTTGGCATGTTTGGTTCGATTAAAATGAACCCTGGTGCGATAGCTGTGCTAGTGCGGTTCATTTGAGCATGTGTGAACGCTGCCATCCGAACCCTGGTGCGCACCAAACAAGCGGACTGAGACCGCAAAAAAAAATGGGTCTCGGTCCGCTTCCAAACTAACTCTGGTGCGGTTCGAATGATATATGAACACAACACGGACCAACTACTTCTAAACGAACCAAAAACAGGAAGTAATGACAAGACGCGACGCTATGCGACATGATTTGACGACGCAGTGCAACCAAAACAAAATGAGCAGAGGGCAAATGTGGAGCAACGATGGTAAAGTGCCTTTTATGAGCTACTTGTGAGTTTGCAGGTGGTGAAAATAAAATGATATGTACACACAAGAATGAGTGCGCTTAGTCCAGCAGACGGCACTTAAAGTGGCGCTGAGCGTACCGATCGGTTAATGGATGCTTTGATATCATAAACCCGCAGCGCCGCTTTAAGTCTAACGCACCTTTTGTTTGGGGTGTTCGGTGAGTTTAGTCACGATATATACGTCATTCAAGCCGACCAATCAGGTTGTGAATGTATCACTATGTCTTTAGGTTCGGTGTCTTTAGGTTCACTGTCAAAAATGTCAATGTGAACGCTAAGCGGACCAGGACCAAATGTATCATTTTCCTTTTTGGTCCGGACCAAATGAACCAAATGAACCGAACTACAAGTGTGAACGCACTCTAAGACTTCAGCACAAAATGTGCTTGTACTTTCTAGTTTGTCTAAAAATTTTTAACTCAAACTTTACAAGAAAAGCGAAGAAAAATCCAGCTGGCAGAGAGTGGCTCAAGGTCTCAGTTCAGACTGCTTTAGGAGCCCTGGTTTGGCAGATCTACTCTCTGAACTGAGAGGGTGTATAGAGCTGTTGCACTTGAGGAGACAAATTCCACTTAGGAAAACAGCGTCTTTTTGTAGATAAATGTTATTCAGAAGCAGCTCCCTCATGTGAGCAGGACTGCAGTGACTAGTCTTTAGTGGGAGGGATATCAGGTTTGCAGGAGCCAGCAGGTGGAAGTGAGTCGGCCAGGAAAGGAGTTAGTAGGCAGGCTGAGTGGGAGCTCTCCATGGTAGTGATGGTTTCCAGAAATTTCACAACACATAACCATGGTCTGAAGGTCTGCTTTACAAACTCATAAAGGTGCATCAAATCCCATTACAGACTACCCCAGGTGGAAAAGATTGAGGTACAGTAAAAAAATTATCTTTTAAAGCATCTTGGAGCTTATATGATCTGTGGTTGATAAAACACATTATTTGGATGTAATTTTCTTAATTTGTATTTTCACATTTTATATATCCAGGGATCAGAGTTGGATAATTGGACAACTTAGTTTAGTCTTCAGGGCAGAAAAAGCACCTACATCACCCCAAGTTGTTTGGGAGGGTTTCAAGAAAAAAAATCCTCTGCTCAAGCATTATTCAGTTGCCTGGGTTCTATGGTCAGATAAAACAAAACAAAAAAGAGAGCTTTTTTAGCATACACGATATGGGTTTAAAGGGATACACAAGGATAAAAAAAGTGCCCACAACACTGATGGATCTTTAATGTTCTGGGCATATTTTTCTGTATAAAAATAAGAATGTCTATAAGAATACGAATAAGAATGAATAAGATGTCCTGGACATTATTCTTATTCAATCTTATTCAAATATATTGCATCATGGATACTATCAAATACCAACAGATAAAAGATCAAAACCTGACTGAATCTTATAATGGGCCGTGGATCTTCCATCAGGACAATGATCCAAAAACAAACATTTAAATCAACACAAAAATAGGTCACTGGGCACCAAATGAAGGTTCTGCCATGGCCGTCCCAGTCCCCTGACCTGAACCCTATAGAAAATGAGTGGGGTGAACTGAAGAGGAGAAGCACCAACATTGACCTTGGCATTTGAAGGACCTTGAAATATTCTGCATGGAAGAATGGTCTCCAATCTCCAACCTCATCAGGCATAGAAGACTCAGAGCTGTTATTTTGTCAAACAGAACTTGCGAAAAGTATTGAATAAAAGGGGGCCAATGTGTATTTGAGAAAAAGTTTTACTTCAATGAAAGATTCGATGTTTGAAATTATTTTAATGAATGATCAAATGGATAAAGGATGCAGATTTATTATTACAGCCTTCTTTGCTCATGTTTGCCAAGGGGGCTAATTATTTGGGAACACTTTAGTATAGGGACCAATTATTAACCAGTTATTAGCATGACTATTATCAACATATTGGCTGTTTATTAGTACATACTGTATAAAGCACATATTCTGCATGACCATATTCTACATTCCTAATCCTACCCAATAACTAAATTTAACAAAAAACACTGTTAATGGTTTGTTAATAATGAGAAATTGGACCGTAAAATAAAGTGTGACCAATAATTATGACCTAATTATTCTGAAATTATATATAGTAATATAATACTCTATTTAATATAAATTTATGTAAATATCATATATATCGCATATAGCATACATACATATAAAATTTAAATAAAACGTTGTACATAAAACGTAAAAAATATATACAGTACTTGTATTTGTACTGCTGTTTGCAATTATAAACCATTATAACAAAAAATTTATTTTACCATGTAAAATATACCACAGGCATTTTCATGTTTGTCAGGAGAAAACCCATCAAACTTTGTGTGTTTTACATATAATTTCATTCAAGATTTATTGTCTTTTTAATAAATTAGGCTACTTCCAAAACAACTCCTTTTTCTAATCTCAAAGTTCAAATTGATTTTGAACATTACTGGCAATGAGACTTTCTGCACTTCATGCTTGTCCCTTTAAAATAGCTAATTGATTGTTTTTAGGTCCTGCAGATTGTCACAATTGTTGTCTATTGTCTATAAAACAAAACAGTTTTGTTGTGCAAAACACAGTAGCTTAAGCAATTTGTTGGTGACAAGCAAGTGACTCCAGGTCTGTCAAAGTCTGAGGCTCAATTACAAGTGGAGGATAGAGGGGCTTAAAAACCAGGGAGTTACTGAGATCACCACCACAATCTGTTTGTGTGTTGAGTGAAAAATATTGAATTCTGCTCAAAGGGGGGGATGTGTGTTGCTAGAGAAAAAAAAGTTTCTGATAAATGTCAGTTCACCATAACCCACTGGAATGATATATTAAGATACAAATGCCCAGCATCATTTCCCAGTTTCCAGTGACTGCTAGATCAAGGCAGGTTTTAGATGAGAGATCATGTATAGCTTTGGAGCTAGGAGCTCTCGTGTATCGGGAAAAATTATTACATGCAAAGGAGGGAGGAAGAGAAAGATGGAGTGAGGGACTAAGAGAAAGAGACAGAGAGAAAGTGTGTGAGAGAGAAAGAGATGAAATGGGAGAGTGAAGCAAGAGAGAGAGAGCAAGAAAGAGGGAAGGAGGAAGAGAGAGAGTACCGCCCTTCAGTTGTGTTTAAATGTGAAGCGGAAAATCATCTCTGTGGCTCAGGGGAGTGAAGAGGCGATTCTAGTGTTAGATGAGCGGGTTTGGCGTACTTCAATCATAGCGCTCTCTCTCTTTCGCTCTTCGTTTGTCCTACAGTGAAAGAGGGAAGGAGGAAGAGAGAGAGTACCGCCCTTCAGTTGTGTTTAAATGTGAAGCGGAAAATCATCTCTGTGGCTCAGGGGAGTGAAGAGGCGATTCTAGTGTTAGATGAGCGGGTTTGCCGTACTTCAATCATAGCGCTCTCTCTCTCTTTCGCTCTTCGTTTGTCCTACAGTGTCCCTGATTCAGGCTTCAAAGTGAGAAGACCGAAGAACTGAGAGTTTCTACAAGACTACAATACCTGGACACGGGGATATCTGGACACCTCACAATGGATGGATTGAGGACAAAGTGTTGAGTTCTCCTACGGCTGTCCCTGAATGATACAGGTACAGTAGTTGTTTCAGCTTTGTTTTCCTCTTTACCAAGTATCAGCATGCAGCTGATGCAATAGTAATGTTCAGAAAACAAATATAACATGTTTTTACCTTGATGCATGCAAAATGCTTGTTTTTTTTTCTGTGAAAAAGGAGTGCACTGAAAGATCAGCATGAATACCTTCATCTGATCTCACACTCAGTGATTATTATAGCCTACATTATGAAGCATATGCCATGAGACCGAATGGCTGGCTCTTTTCATAAGTTCTGCAGACGTTTTTATAGTTTTATTGTCTGACATTCAATTTCAGCACATGCTATGTGGATAACTGAAGAAAATGTGACTGCCTAGTCATAACTCTAATTTATGAATATGAATAGGCAATTGGAGACTCAATGATGGAGACAGACTGTCAGGTGGCTGAGGATAAGAAACCGATTGGCACTTTCATCTCTAAATGGCCTAATAGACACACTAAGAGGCTGAAAGCAAGTCGGTCTACATGAAGATTGGATCTGCGAGATTTTCTCTGCACTCAAATATTTGGTGTATAATCAATTTCTCACAAAGAAATTGCTGGTACATTTCACAAACAATTACAAAGAAATGGAAAGCAACACTGAATTAAATGTGAAATAATAAAGTATAAAAACTGAAATAGTAATTTCTTGTCAAATGTACTCAAATATTCGCTTTATTAACAAATTCCTAATCATATTTTATAGTGTGAGGAAGTTCTGTCAGGTTCTCTCAAACTCGCATAAACAATATATATATATATATTTTTTTTCAGATTTAATTAGAAATGCCAGGTTTGAATGCACCTCACGGCATTCACAGCACTTAGGTAGGAATGAATGGAAGTGAGAAATGAAATGCCAGTGTGTGAGTTACTGACCTCTCTCTCTGTGTATCTTCAGAGGAGTGTTGGGATGTCGTGGCTGGTGTGGGTGTGGGTCAGTGTGACAGTCCTGCTGATGTGTGAGGCCACTTTCTATGAGACCATCCAGCAGCACCTGGCCCCGCCTGGAACCAACATACAGATCCTTGGTGAGTCCTTCTTTCTCTCCATCTCCTGCCTCATTGTTCACTCTGACATCAGCATGTTTTCTCAGTCTCGGTTTAATCTCTGTAGGGGGAAAGGTTCAGGTATTCATCTCTCAGAGTGGCTGAATCAAGAAGGATCAAACCATAACCTGAATTAAATCAAGTTTTATCTACTACCTCAGTTGCATCACACTTTCAACACCTTAAAAATAAGGGTACATTTATTCCATTATGTTCTCCTTGTTTTTAGTTTATCCTTGCCTTAGTTTTACAGTAAACTTAAGCTACTTTAAATCTAGTTGCTCTAGTGCTATAAACTTTAGTGCCCCTATTATGCCATTTCGAATATTGCCTTTCATGCAGTGTGTAATGTAGCTGTATGTGTTGTATAGCCGAAAGTGCACGATAAATAAAGTTACTGTCTTCCAAAAGAAAGAATCGACTCTGAACAGAGGTCACAGGGTAACACATTTGCATAATGCCTGCCTATGTTCTTCGTTGGCTGCAATAACCCGTCTGCAAATAACTTGACCTGCCCTCAAAAACTGTAGCTTGTTTGTGTAGTTAACATCATGTCGAGAAGACGCTGTGAAAGTAAATTCGTTGTATTTTCACTTCTGAAAAATGAGGCTGCACAGAATCAATGGTTAAAATTCACAACAGTACAACCCCAATCTTTTTTGTGTTCCCGTCATTTTACTGCTTCTCTAATCTCGGGGAGTTCAACGCGAGATTCACAAAACGCTTGCTCTTGAAAGATGGCTCAGTACCCTGTTTATTTGGGCCAGCTGGCTCCACTGAATCACAACCTGTAAGTACGACAAATAGATGTTTATATTTTCTATCGATGGCAATGGGTGTATCGTTTCCGACACGGGCTGTATACGGTAGACCAATCACAACAGACTGTGCCATCTGACCAATCAGAGCAGAGTAGGCTCATGGAAAGGAGGGGTTTAAAGAGACTGAATCTTAGAACTGCTTCGGACGAATCGTTTGAGAATCATTGGAAAATTAGGTGACATTAAATGCATATTTTGAGAAAACTAAAGCATTTTTTGACCTTTCATGCATGTAAACCTATTGTAGGAGACTCCCAAAATAATATTAGGAACCTTAAAAATGCCATAATAGGGGCACTTTAAAGGATAGTTCACCCAAAAATGAAGATTCTGTCATCATTTACCCTCATGTCATTCCAAACCCATAAGACTCAAAAGCTAAGAAACAAATTAAAATGATTTTTAATAGTATTATAATATTTATATTATTATTATTTTAATATCATTATTTCCTATTCTTTTTGTCCATCCCTTGAAAGTCCACGCAACCAAAAATTTCATGCATCAAATGAACAAAATGATTTTGTAAAAGTAATAAAAATCGAACAGTTTAATACAAATCGTCTAAAGAGACACAATCACTTTATATGATGAACAGATTTAATTTAGGCTTTTATTCACATATATACATTGATGCACATAGATAAAGAACATTGAATATGGTAAACAGAAGCTCAGACATGATTGTGTGACATGCAAAAACAAACCTCATTGGTTCTCACAATTCAAGCAAGCATGTCCGAGTTTCTGTTTACCATATTTGATGTGCTCTATAAATGTGCTTTGATCAGTGTTTATATGTGAATAAAAGCCTAAAATTATCATGACAGAATTTTTGTTTTGGGTAAACTAACCCTTTATGGATTAACATGAAACTTTCTGGTTTTAATTTCCAATTCCTATAAAGAAAATAAGGGAGCAGCTAATCTGAATTTTCATAATGATAATAATTTAACAAAGAATTTTTAATACTATTAAAGAAAAACAAACAATAGGCAAACAATACATTCAGTTTACAGATAATTTAATGTTTTGTAATATTAGCAATATATGATAGTATATACAGCATTAAGATATTTTATGTATACAGTCAAATGTAAGCATTATAAAATAAAATAAATTAAATAAAATATCCATTACTTGCACAAGCTATTTTTGATATCCTCTTCTACATGACACTCAAAAATGGAACAGAGTATCTGAGTTTTTTTTTTTTTTTTTTGGCTGCTGTTTACTTTGGTTAATCCACCATGGCGGACAATCAAAATTAATTGCAGGTGAAGGTTTTAATCACTATTATTAAGAAGCTCAACACAACTTCAACAATTCTTTTTCTTAATTTAATTCTCATTGGTGCAACTCTGATTCAGGAAAGTAGACACACAGGGGATGGATTTCTAGCACAGCGGTTCTCAACATGGCATTGCTGCAGGACCCAGATTTGGACATTTATCAAGCAGCAACCCAACACAGTAGCAGAATTGTTTTGATGGTTTCAAGCTCTCGGTAGCCAATAATTCACTGCACACAACACACTGTGGTCTGTATTTAATGATGTTGGGGTTTGCATAGGTTTTTTCCCCCATGCTTTTCGAGGAGTCAAGCACTTGACACCGAGGGCATGTCAAGTAACTCTGCCTAATTTGGCTAGCTTTTACCATCTGTAAATGTCCAATAAATTTGCATTGGATTCACTTTTTTAACATCAGCAACAAAAGCATTTTTCCTTCCAAGTTTATAAGCTATATGCTAAATAAGCACAATTATACGGTTAGATGTATTTTTTTATGTCCATTTAACAATGACATTTTTTTAGTGTTTTCTTTTGTTTTTGTTTTTTATACTTATCAGCACATGCAAAACACCAGCTGAGAACCATTGCTCTCAGACCTCATGGTTGGCCAAGTTTATAAGCACCTGGAGTGTGAGAGGAGTTTTCAATAATAGTTCAGGTTCAAATCCTCAACAATAGCGTAGTCAGGATGTGGTAACACATTAGATTAGGGAACACATATTCACTATTAGTTTTCCCTCAATTAACTCCTAATTTGCTGCTTATTGATAGTAAGTAAGGCTGTATTTTGTAGGGTTTAGGGATCTAGAATATGGTCATGCAGAATAAGGCATTAATACTGTATGTGCTTTATAAACAGCCAATATGCTAGTAATATGCATGCTAATAAGCAACTTATTAATAGTGAATAGTGTTCCTAAATCTGAAGTATTACCCAGGTTGCTAACCCTGTGCCCATCACAGTAAAAACTTACAGCTTTTCTTCCACACATCAGGTCAAGAGGATATCAGACATATTTATCAGTATGTAAATCTATTAGAAAATCCTGTTTATCTAATATCTCGGCGGTCTGAGGTGGTTTTAAGGTTCGCCTCAATTGAAACAGAGCACAAATGCTTCTTGTAACCTCACACCTTCAAATGAGAGGGCTAAAAGCAATTTGAGACCATACCACTTACCTTAACTAATCTCGCTAGAGGCACTTTACTGGGATTGGATCCTGAATTGGAATTGATTTTATTGTACAGACTATAGAACAATTATAGAGGTACATGCTATTCCTGATTCAGAGCAGAAGGTCGGTGGAGTTTTGCCTCTGTTGACATCAAAGGCTTTGACTGTTAAGATTTGAACAATTTGGCTTCAATGCCATTCAGAATGTAGATAGAGCAATGTTAGTAAATCTATCCTTGATGAAACAATTGAGCTCCAGCACAAGAATATTTCTTAACAATCAAACGTTCATCCTAAATGGAGGGCTATATATTGGCCCACCAGTACTGAGTGCTCTGGGATTCCACTACCCCAAATCTGAATATCAAAGTAGATAAACAAACTGCACAGATTGGGCTTTTATGAGCTTTGGTGACGTTGCATAAAATTCACATTTGGTGCTGGATGGAATGAATGGACAGAGATTACGTTTAAGTGTCCATATGTTCTCTCAAAAGATGAACAATACTGGGGCATTTAGACATTTCTTGACTGAGTATAAAAAGAGGCACTGAATAATTCATATTTAAGCCCCCATTCTGCTCCAAAAAGATGATTTATCCAAAAGATATAAATTTTGGTAATATTTTCTGCAATACTTCATTTACAAAGGAAGGAATTTAAGATATCAATGTTTTCTGAAACCACATCTTCAAAGCCATTTCCTTTTACCACTGGTCTTGTATGAAAAACACAAACAACCAGCACCGATTGTAGCTCCAGGATGCATTTGCATGTTGTAAAAACATCAAGCTCAGCAAACATACTCTCAAACTGCCAATCATGTAAGAAAAAAAATGTTTAAAGGTCAGCCAAACTGACAACATCTGCTCTGCTTTCAAACCTTGTGTGATTATGTTGACATTTTTGATGTAATGACAAGTGCATGCTCTAACTGTAAATGCTTTTTCAAGTCAGGGTGATATTGTGGCTTTGGAGAGGGTGGGAGTGTGTGCATGTGTGTGTTGTGATACAAAGAGATATTTGTTTAAGTATCGAGTGCTTTGGGGCTGGTAGATTGTCCTGATTATCAGGGTTGACAGGGCATGAATTCTTGCGGTACCGTTGCTTTCATTAAAACCATTAATGTGACTAGTGACCAAGATCACTGCAGGAAATTGCGAATATAGGAAACGGTGTTGTTCTGAAACTGATGAATTGAGCTGCATCCATTGCAAAAAGTTTTTTTTTTTTTTTTATACTGAGAATTTTAATTTTGTATTTGAATTTCACTAGAGGTCAAGGTTTATGGGAGCATATGTCTGACTTATGCAGTATTGACTATTATGCAGTATAAACTGCACATATTAATGTGCCAAAATAATGTCGCTTGGCAACTGCAAACTGCCTATAGTTAGAAAAATGAACTAAATTTTATCAATAAGATGTGTAACATTGAGAATACAGTCATAGCTAAAAGGTGTTGAAGAGACAGCATAGATTTTAAAATTAGCTACCACACAACAATATTAAGGACACAATTTTTGATTTAAACATTATTTTATAAAGCAAATTCATTAAGGAAATGATTACACTAGAAGAAAGGAATGGACGATATATGGTCACTAGCTTAAGTGAGAGATTTTCTAATTGATCTGTATCAGTCAATATTGGATATACAGTATATTGTAACAGTGTTTATTTGTTCATACTT